AATGGTCAAGGGTGCTTATTGAAATACGCTGAGACTATAGTTAGCTATTCACAAACTTAAGACCATCCCCCACCGCACCCGCATTTGTGTTCAAAAGCAATTTATTTATACTCTTAACCTAACTTGGTTATCTACGAGCATAAACTTTTAGTCTAACGTAATCACTAAACTTCTGATGAAAAATACACTTTTAACAGTTTGAAGAAGTTTGGGCATTGGGTATATGATATTCATTACCATAAAGGTTTTTGTACATAATACCTTGATAAAGCTAAAAGTAGCATTAAACAGCGAAACATCAGTAGGAACAATATCGTTTTGTTTTTCATTCATTGGGAAATACAAAAAACCTTTATTATGAAAAAGTACACTCTGTTTAAAGTGTTTAACAGAAGTACGCTAATATTTGTAAGTATGAGGTCAAATTTTGATCGCAACTCAGCCCATTTTGTTTGTTTATTATATTTTGGTGACTGTTTCATGATTGAATAAAGTTTTCAAGAACAAGAGATGTCCTTTTTTATAGATAAACCTGTTATTTTAATTTCGATTAATCCCCCTGAAGAAGTTCGTACCAGTTTGCCTAACGAAAAGATTGAATTACGCATTTCAATTCCACTGAAATTTTACAAATATCACATTTATAAATGTCTACTTCTTGATCGGCGTCCAGTCATTTTGGAACTATTGAGTCAAATCTTGATCACAGTTGATGAATTACCTTGATAATCCTTATGCGACTAGATACCCAATGGTAGTGCTAATTATTCTTACTATTCTTAAATCCTTTCCGTCACTTTGTCTGCTTTAATTGGCCTTTATTTTTCATATATAAATTGACTTAACAAGTAAATGCTTGACAAGACTGATCGAAATGTAATGCTTATTTTACAGATAATCTTCGTCTTCTAACAACACGATCCAAACTATTTTTTGCTATTTGTCACCCATGAACTTACATCTGGTTTGTTTCCCTGTAGTATTCATATTATTTCACACAGTGCTGACTGTAACTTCCTCTTGAAACCTGTACTTTTGTTGACTATATATATATACACACACACATTTTATGTCATGTTCTTACTGACACAATTAATGATAATCAAAACTAGGTGACTACTATTATTCCATCTACTCTACTTGTACCACAGTACACTTTCTGATATAATTCTATTTCGCGCTTACTCGTTATCGTATACGAACAAACATCAATGGATTTATAAGTCTAGAGTCTGAAGATGTACTATAGTTGTTCGCTCACATTGTTCTTGCTGTGAATAAATTATGGGGATATTCATATTACAGTATACTATCGTGGAAACCGAACCGTTGGAGTTATTAAGCCAGAAGACGCAAGTGGGCTAACCTAACATTAATCAAGACTTAAGCATTGTAGTACAGTAGAGCATGCAAAATAAAGCGCTGGGAATGCTAACTGATCAAATAACAAGGTTAAAAATGTTGATTCATCACTGACTCATTCATTAAATACTACTTTGTAAGCTAAATTCTACTTCTGAAATTCACCTTACCAACATCGTTGATTGGATGCATACTTTTTCATTTCCTGAACGAAATGGGATTTTTATAGCAAAATGTTGTGCAATTCAATTTTAGTAACAGTTTAGTATTAATCCTAACTCGAAGTATAGTCTGAGCTTCCAGATCAACAGTACCTAACTTAGTATATTACGCAAAGATGGGATAATTTTTTCATTTTCTTGTGGATGTTTATTGTTTTCATAAAAAGGAATCGTCAACCTACTATACTGCTAAGCTTAATGACGCATGATTCTTCGTTTTGTTATACGCAGCCAAGATCCCTATGAGGTATCAATCATTTTCAGCTTTTAAAAAAATGTGCAAACACTTTGTGTCATCTTCTTACTACAAAAATTCTTAATGCATCACTTTACAGAGAGAGACACAGTGCCTAATCTGTGAAAGGTAATAAAGATGGTAACCGTACTGAAATCTTCATCTTTGGGATCCATCTTAAAGTTTAGACTAATCGTCATCATCTGAAAAAAGTCTCTTATCTGTTCTTAAAATCTCACTAAAATCTTTCAGTCACCCTAAACTATTTACTTATGAAGTTAGCAGAAGTAATTTAGATGCTATCGTTATACCGCATCATGACGTTGTTTCCAGACTGTATAAAGGCGTTCTGTTTGACTTTGCCAACTTTACTGAGATGCTTTCGATTGCGTCATAAGAATGTTTCTGTTTAGCAAACTGACTTCAACTCGCACTGAATCCTGAGCCACAAGGAACAATACACTGTGTCTAACAGGAAGCATTGCACTTCTCTACCTACAGAAGTTGGTATAAAGTGACGTACTTTATCGATTCGTTTTTTCTTTTATTTTTGCACAACTTACCGTATTTTTTTATTCTTTACGTTCCCGGTGGAACATAGGGTTTCAAGCTAGATGCTTGAAGTTTCTCTAGCAGTGTTGCTAATCTTTACAGGATGGGGTTGCTAGCCTCATTCCCAACCTTCCCTCTTTACTGGTCTAACTACTGGCTTATTGAGGTAAAGGAGTGCGCAGGCCGGGCATTGAACCCCGGACTTACCGTATATTCTAATAAAACTGATTTCATCGGGATAATTGCTGTCCTAGTTGACTCTGTAGTAAAATGTACTGACGTAAATAATTTCCTGTCTGAGGTTAATCAGTGGTGTTAATCCCTCCCAATGTCAAACAGTTAATTTTAGTTTCAGAAGTAAACAAGCCTTGAGCGAACTGATTCATCCCCATGTAGCATCGACAGCAGAATATAAGATGAATAACACCTATCTCAATTTAAATATATATATATATATATGTGTATGTAATTACGTTCCCTGAACTGGGTGATTTATGGAGTAGCTTTCATTGTCCATATAGACAAAATTTCCACTGCAGGCTTCAGTATGCAGTGAATTTATTTGATTTCTTCATAAATGATATCCTTGTATCTCACCTGATAACCTTTGTTGTGATTGATTGTTAATTTGCATCAGTGCTGATGGTTTATATTGACTCGAAGTTTGTCATGTGGTTTATTATTATTATCATTGACAAATGAGACTTTATAATAATATATCTGTTAATCGCTAGTCTGTCTGAGTAATAACCAGGCTTCTAGAATGTTCCTAGCATTCTCAGTGTCTACACTGTTTAAAATTCCTACATTTTCTTTCCCGTCAAACTGGTGTGTCTATAATTCTCGACATGCATTGATATGAATCAGGAATATGCGTCGTCACTTTTGTCAGCTAGTTTGTGGTATTGGATTTGGAGTCGAAAGGATGTTCCCAGTTTAACTAATATACAAAACTTATCACAAGTGATCCAGTTTGTTTTGTGGTGTCGATCTTATCTTTTGCTTATATATGACAAAATTATTATTAATAGTCAGTATTGATACATTAGCAAAGTCTGGGAATCAGAGACGGTTCCATCAGACTGGGGTAAGTCACTTATTATACCGATATTCAAGAAGGGAAACAAGTCCTCGTGTGATAATCATAGGGGGATCAGCCTAACCAACATAGTTTCTAAAATCCTAGGCTCAGTAATCATGCATAGACTAGGCAGAGCTCGGGAGGAACAAACGAGGGAAATCAAGCAGGCTTTAGACCAGGTAGAGGGTGCATAGATCATATCTTCACTCTTCGACAGATTCTAGAACATAGACACACTTTTCGGCGTCCAACAATTGCCATATTTCTTGACTTGAAGGCGGCCTTCGACTCCGTGGATCGAAAGGTACTATGGCAATGTCTGACTGTGAAGGGAGTGCCAAGAAAGTACATTGCACTAATCAAGGCACTCTATTCAAACTCACGTAGTCGTGTAAGAGCTTATGGGGAATTGTCATCTGAATTGATAACAACCAGTGGTGTCCGACAGGGATGTCCACTTTCCCCATTTCTGTTTAACTTCATCATAGATATGCTGATGGAAGTATCCTTAACTGAACGTAACGACTTAGGAATCGACTTGTTACCAGGGAATAAATAGTCTTATGGACTTAGAATATGCAGATGACATAGTCCTGTTAGGGGAGGATGCTGACAAAATGCAGAGTCTTCTGAACACCTTGAGCAGCAATCTTCGTATGTTTGGGATGCGATTCTTCCCTGCAAAATGTAAGATGCTGCTACAGGACTGGACTACGTCAACTCCTAGCTCAGTAAAAGGAGGTGAAGTGATGGAACATGTTGACCACTTCACCTATTTGGGAAGTTGTATTAGCACCAACGGACTGATTGGCGATGAAATCTCAGCACGGATCCAAAAAGCTCGAGCTGCTTTCGCTGACTTACACCATCTCTGGCGTAGGCGTGACATCCGGCTATCAACCAAGGGACGTGTGTACTGCTCATCAGTTCGCTCCGTCCTTCTCTATGGCTCTGAAACATGGCCAATACGAGTTGAAGACATGAAAAGGTTGACTGTTTTCGATCATAGATGTCTGCGATCTCTTTCTCACGTTAGGTGGTTTAATAAGGTAAGTTGACGTTAGGCGTAGAGTGTTGGGCAAAGAGGGAAAATCAATTGACGAGGCTGTAAAGTTACATAGATTGAGATGGCTAGGTCACGTGCTGCGCATGCCTAACCATCGCCTCCTCCCGACGGGTATTACTAGCTGATATAGGTGCAGGCTGGAAAAGAGTAAGTGGTGGCCAAACAAAAACATGGCCTCATCAATCCATGAAATCCTTGACAGTTAAACTGAGTCAGGTAGGGAGATGCAGACTCCCGGGTTGGGGCCCTCGGGACCCTAGGAATCAATGGCTGGAGACAATAGGTGACATGGCTCAAAATCGTTGTCAATGGCCAGCGCAGATGTATTCAGTCTCTGTAATCTTTCATATTTCTTTTTACCATTACCCATTCTGTTTCACTTTTATACTTGTCAGACTGTATTGATTCTCTTCACTCATCTTCTTGTCTACCTCTGTGTGCTATTTGGAACGACGTGGCAACTCGAACTGGTGCACTTCGGTGCCAAGTTCTATGTTGAATCCAGATAGACAGATTGATACATTAGGCTGTTTTTTATTATTCACAGCTTTACAATTCAAAGAGAAGAAAAGCAATAGAGGTGCAATAAGTGTGTGCGTATATAGGAAGACGTATAATATGCATTTGGTACATCTCAAATGGATTGTATATGACATGTTTACAAAGAAGTTTACAGTGTTATATTCCACTGAAATATAACTTTTATTTGAGTAACGCTTAAAAAATAGCAAACAAACAAAATGTACAACTTAATAAAGATGAAAGACTTATACTCCGGTCAAAACGTCTGCATAATTCTGATTGCAGTCTGATGACTGACTGTTTCTCCACTGCTTCATTCGTTTTGCTTCCTGTCAATGAATTTGAAGAAAGTTCGAATAAATGCGTTATTTTTAATAAGGTAATAGGGCAGAAGACATACGTTATACATTATAAGCAGTGTAAATTACATTGAGTAAACAATATTTTGCATTTTGTAACACTCAGTAATGAGAATAAATAACGTCTCGATCTTTATCTTTGTTATAATTATTGCTACAGACATCAATTCCTAAAAATATAAGCGTAATAGACACAGTAGTCATTGTTTGCTGTCTAAATCCATTTGTACTACAAACGTTAAGTGGATCTAGTCTACGCAAAATCCGAAAGTCGACTGTCTGAAATAACAGTTGCCCTTTGAAATGTCTCAATGAATTATTTTCATAGGCGAATATGTAGACGGTAGACGGTGGGTGACGTAGCCTACTTCACAATCTTAAAAGACACCTGACTGAAGGAACTTTGAATTTACAAAAGTCGTTAATAGACACAAACAATTTGCATTATCTTGAGATACAAAACTGTTTCATTCGCAGTCAGTTGAAGATTAACAAATTCCGAAAAGTTTTTGTCGGGAATCCACTGGTCTAAAAGACACTAAGTGATATTTGTAATTACATAATATCTGGCAGCCTACTTAAAACCCTGGGCTATCTAAATTTTCATTTGGTATCATGCTGCATAAACTCTTCTCCATTTCTACTTATTATTTTAATCATCTAAATGTGTGTGTTTTTAGATAGCTAAATGAACTCGTACACAGTTAGTTAGTCACAATTATTTATTATCGGTGTGCATCAGTAGTTCAGTGGTAGATTGTCAGCCAAATGCAATCGTGGCCTAGGATTCGGTTCCCCCGCCGATTCATCCCTAAACCGATAGTAAGCCTGGAGACGAGAAGAGAGGTTGGGCATTGGGCTGGCAACCTCATCCTGTAGAAATAACACCACTACTACTAAACATTCGAAGCTCAAATCCCTATAAGATTTAATAATGTGAAATGTCAATCTGAACGAAGAATATTCTTTTCAATAATTTCTCTTCAGGTTCTTACAATTATAAAACAATTATAATATTGAATATTTGTTTTCGTCACAATAAAGGCCAGTTATGCGGCGGCGGATACATTTTTAACGTAGAACAACAGATTAGCAGTTATCGGGTGTCAGAATAAATAGTCGTATTTGTGTGACAAACGTCGTGCTAGGCTGAAATCGATCACAAAATATTTTGGTGAAATGGGAGACAATGGTGATGATTAGTCATAATAGATTTGTAGAGTGTTGGGTAGGAAAATTGACAAGTCACTTCAAGGTTATAAAAGGTATCAGGTGAGTGGCTAGTACTAAGTGGTAGGTATTAAACAGGAGACAGTAAGACTGCAACGAGAGGTCTATGCCTTTCATGCAAGCATTCTCTCAATACTATCGAATTTTCCATTTATACTATCTGGACTTATTATTAGTGATATTATCTCTTTTCTCAACATACACCTCCACCTGTTACTTCAGTTCACATATTCGTTATTTCATTATGAACCTCTCACTGCAGTCTTATTATCTTTCTATAGTTTGGTTTGTAAGGATTAGTTATGTTTTACGAGTTGATCACGGATTGATATTAATAAGTGTTTTGCAATTGATGATGCTGGATTTCTATTAAGATTAATCGCGTTAGGATTTTCGATATGATTTAGTAGCCATTTGGAACATGTTCTTTTCGACGACATTGGAACATTCTGTTAGTGCTATCCATATAGGTGTCACCGCAACTGCAGGCCAACTTGTAGAAAAAGAACATTTCCAAAATGGCTACTAAATCATATCGAAAATCCGAACGCGATTAATCTTAATAGAAATCCAGCATCATCCATTGCAAAACACTTATTAATGTCTGGTCACAAAATAAATACTAATGACTGTTTCACAATTATTTCACATAACTCTAATTCAAGGTTATTGAAGGTGATGGAAGCACTTTGGATTAATCACATACAGCCTAAACTGTGTGTACAAAAATCAATAGACTTCAATCTTCGCCTACCATGGACTACATGACCTATCTAAATATGATTGGTCATTAGTATGTACTTTTGTTTTTATTTAACAGAGTAATTTTCATGAACTTTATTTTATCATTGTTAACCATGTTAGTTGTAAAGTGGTTGTAAAGAAACTACGAAATAACGATATCATCTCGCGAAATTTGTCTTCTTAATGCCTTATTCAATTTTATAGTTTTCTATGTCTTCTCCTATTTGTCGTCGTAGGGGTAGTAGAATTTTCCAGATATCTGAGTGGATAGGTGTTGAATCATTCCTATTACACAAGTATTCTCTCTCACTTGATTCGATAAACAAAGTTTCTGTTATCAATCTCTCCCTCCCTGCACCTTGTGACATTAGATTTTAAAACTGTCATCCTATCCCATCTTATTGTATGGTTGTGTGTGATTGCATGTAATGCTATGGCTGAACTATTCTCAAGATTTGTTATCTTATTTGAATCAACCAATCTAGATTTCGCTGCTAGGTGTTTATGCTCGCTAGTCTGACTCACTGAAGCTGTTCTACTAGTTTGACCTATGTACTTGATCTGACAGTCATTCCAGCAGGGTATTAGATAAACTCAATTGTTTAGTTCAATTGGCTCCACAGGACTGATCCTTTAACCGACAAAGCTTGTTTCTAATTGAGTTTGTGCTTGGTTTGAATGCCAGACACTTTTATTCCTGCCAGCATTGTTAAGAATTCTGCGTAAGGTTTCCGTAATTAGATTCTCTGTTTATCCGCGTTTATCCAATTCTATCCAAATACGTACAAACGATTACAATCTAATCTGAAGTTCACTTTTGCCTACATTTACTTACAGAGAATGCATAATCTGAATGAATACATTTCACCTCAGAGCTAATCACAACCATTCAGTACTGTTTTTACCTTAAGTACTGGCATGCAACTATTCAGTTTGAATAGGAACTGACATACTTGGATGTGATCACTTTCTTGTTTCATGAAACAGGCCTCTTTTCTGCGTATAAGACGACGATTGCTAATTGTCCTTGATTCTTAGTAAATTAAGACAGTTCAAACATTTAAAAAAAATGCAATGCAGGAATTTAACACTAGCAACACTAGTGTGTATTAACTGCTTTGAATATATTCAAGTTCACAAAATTTATTTTAAAAAAGGCATTTTTCGCATCTGAGTTTAAAAGTTGGTTAAACTAAGCGATGACAAATGTATCCAATTTAAACACTAATAATATTCTCATTTAAAAGGACAATTAAACGCTTTAGGTAAATTTAGATAGCGTTATTAAAAGATTTAGCGTACCTAGAAGACAACCAGTTCACACGATTATTTGTTAAATAAAATCGATATGAAAATACAAAAATCGAACGTCAGTGGAATTGAACAAAAAATAGATTTAAAAGAAAATTGGATGTCAATTAACACCATTTCTAGTAAGATAGTTCAATACGTATTATGAAGGTAGGCTAAGCGTGACATTAAGTCATTTTTTCCGCACATACACACGAACAAAATGGGCTTAATTTTGCAAGAAGCTATATTATCATATTATTGTTTCCTCGGTTGACTTAAAATTTGCGCTGAAGTTGTGGAAGTGAGCCGTTGATGAAGGTCTGCAGTGGGCTGTTGGATATCCTGTTCGTGATGCGGAAACCAAGTTTCTGACCCATTAGCAAGAACTGATAGACCTACTTAATATCGTGTTGAAAATCCCGATTTAGTTCTTTATTCTGAGGTGGAGTGCACAAAAGTTTCAAACTGTTTTCAGAGTGATGAAAGTTTGTCCCACCTTCTCCAATCATGGTTTTCACAACACCATCATCTATGTCACCTGTAGTTGAAACGATGCCTCCTAGATAGGTGAACCAGGTGACCTCTCTCGAATTTCCCCAGTTGGCAGTGATTGGTGCTTGTTGTTGTTGCTGCTGCTGTTTGTTGGTTATCTGCATCACTTCCACCTTCTCTGTGTTCACTTGAAGTGCTCTCTTAGCTGCCGGCTTCTTTTATCACTTCGTCGGTTTTCGCCTGTAACTCATAGAGTTTGTGTCTGTCGCACTAGACATAAATCACTCACGCGAGAAATCCGTATCTTCTGGAGTCTTTTTATGGTTGGTGCAGGGTATCCCTATCTTCTTGTTCCTTTTGCATAGTTTGACGCATGATGCAGTTGTCCAACACAAGAAATATCGTTGGTGATAGTAATCAGCCTTCAGTATATTTCATAACCCTCCTTTGGAAGTTTTATACAAAATTTAGAAGGCTGTTCCCAAAAGGGTGTTACGCTTAATGCCTGCAAATGACCTTATTGTGGACGACAATGGCAGTCTAAATACCGCAATTACCATGGCTTTTTCAAGCCATTTAAGTAAATATTCTCCCAAATATTTTAGTACCTAGTGAAGTTTTGTTCTCTGACCTGAATGGTTTATTTGGAAAGCTTTCATTGTCCTCAAAGGGGACATGTTTGGTGTAGACTTTCCTATTGAGTATCTACATCGTATCACCGATTTCATTGAATATTTTTTATTCAAAATTAGTACAATAATAGCCATTTTATTGTCATGGTACCCCAAGTCACAATAAAAAAAACTCTTACCATCTTAGTTTTCTCCCAGTGCACCCGTTCCTCCACCAGACTGAAAAATTCTCTTGACTTGTCGGTCTCAAATACTCAAGAGCGTTGGCCAGTAAACAGAATTCACACTCTGGTTTCGACGACCACATACTCACGACACCTTTGTCGTGCCAAGCAAAGTATTCATTATAGGCAGTATCATTCTTATCAAGATATTTTAAATATTCAGCCAACTGTTTGGGACTATCAAATTCGTCGACGTGAATAAAAGAATGAGGTGGTGCAACTTTTGTATATTCTTCAATTGAAGCTCCCATTACAATAGGCAGAACATTGTTCCTGCATTCACAAAGATTGAAACACAGTTTGATCAATTCAAGTGACAAAATACACTTGACAATTAAATTAGTTAAAACTATACTTCCATTTAATGCATCGGTGCACAGCGGTTAGGACGCTCGCCTACCATGTGCATGGCACGAGGTTCGATCCCCGGCCACTAACGCACTCCTTTACCTCGCTAAGCCAGAAATAATGCTGGTAAAGAGGGAAGGTTAGGCATGAGGCTAGCAACCACATCCTGTAAAAATAAACACTGCTATAGAAACTTCAAGCCACTAGCTTGAAGGTGCCCTATGTTCCACTGGGAACGTGAAGGAAAAAAAACAAATACTTTCCATTTGCTTTTTTTAGCAGTAAGCATTATAATACCACTCAATTATAATAGCACTTAATTTAATCTAAAATTAAACGCTTTGTTTCAATAAATTCTTATAAAGATGAGTTGGAGGATTTCATTATGATCTGACATGAAGACAACCAGTTTTGTTTTTATTCTTTTACGTTCCCAGTGGAACATAGGGTTTCAAGCTAGAGGCTTGAAATTTCGGCAGCAGTGATGCTTATGTTTACGGGATGGGGTTACTAGCCTCAACCAGCCATCCCTCTTTACCAGTCTCACTATTGTGTTATCGAGGTGAAGGAGTGTGTCGGCCAGGGATTGAACCTCGGACCATATGCATGGTCGGCGAGCGTCATAACCGCTGTGCCACTGACGCACAAAGACAAAAAATGACATATATATTGACGTCAGTGAAAAGTTTGAGAACTGTGGAATAGATTAAATAAATTACAATTATATTTCAATAGTTGAGACACAATGATCAGTGTCTGCTTTGGTAATATTTTGAGCAAAACTGATGCGCGTAATCGCACCAACTGTTGGAATTGTTTTGTTATTAATTCAAAATTTTATGATTTGTACTTATATATATATATGTATATATACGGCGTGGCTGAATGGTCTACGGGTTTTCCTTCTAACCGGAAGGTCCTGGGTTGAGAAACCAGTGGGTGCGTACTTCCGATGAATCTTAAACTAAGATGAAACAGATGTCCAGTACTCCTTCGTTTTCAATAGTTCTATAACTGATACCAGTTCGTGGTCTAACCTGAAACAGATATAATCCCTACAAACTAATTCTTGAAAAATATAAATTCTGTTATGTCTTTCCATTTGTTCATATTAGCTTTTAGATAGCAAACATTGTTCCAATCGATATTGTGGTTTTTGTCCAATGCATGTGCAACTATAGATGAATTTGTTTTCTAAATTCTTGTAAGCTTGTGTTTCTGTTGGTTGACCTTTAGTTAGGCGTTTATGTTCATTCACTCTTGTTTTGAGTGATCTAGACGTTTGACCCACATACTTAGTCGGATACTCGGAACAAGGTATTTTGTAAATTCCGTCATTTTAACCCATCACTTTTATATTATCTTTCAGTTGATTTATTTTATTTTTAATCAGATTCCTCGGTTCAAACCTGATGATATGTACTTTAGAGCCATCAGAGACAAATTCGTTACAAACGCTAGGAATTAATCAACCTAAGTAGCAAGTAAATAATGTGAAAATTAACGCTGAAATTAACCGATACGAGGCTAGGCTGTTATTCAAATGTATGCAAATAATAGTTCACGCATAGTCCTATGTGTTTTGAATGACTATTTTCATGAAAACATAAGTAGTTCTAATTTGGCCGTGTGTTCTACGCTATTTGAGACAATAAGTTCAGCTTTAACTCTGACTGTACACTTGTTTGTTAGTATAGTTTGTATTTCACAATATCACTGATTAAGTAATTAAGGTTACACATCAATGTGTAGGCAGCAGCCATTAACACATTTTTCTGATTGGTTGATGAGATCTACTATGGAACAAAAACACTATACCACAACACCACAAAAATGCACTGTCCCTTGGCTCGCTAACAAAAACACTTAAAGCACGATCGATATATGTTCTCATGGATATTTATGACTAGATAGAGAACAACATTTGTTGCGAATAGCCATCAAGTATTTTTGTTTTACTTTTGGTTAATTCAGGAGTATTCACCATTTAATTACGCAGCATTGACTAGTTTTCCAGCCTGTCCGAAGACCGGGTGAAGAGAGAGGGGGTTGGGTGTGCAGCTGATGTCCCTATGCCCGAAAATCAATCCGATCGCTACAGTAACTTCAAAGCACAACAAATATATTGAAAACAAAATTATGCTTCGCTGAGTTACTGAAAGCCTTCAGGAAGACAGTCAGCCAGCATGGTGTATTCTCTCGAAGAAAGCAAGAATGAGAATGGGAACGTGGAATGCACGTACAATGTAAGAAGCTGGTTAGGAAGGCTGACCAGGTAGCCAAACAAATTCGAAGTTATGGCGTAGAAGTGCTGGGAATCTGAGAGAGCAATTGGAATAAATGTGGACTGTCAAAACTGTCAACTGGAGAGCCAGTAATCTACTCCGATTTGACCACCCAGACGACAACCACGAACACACTGAGAGAGTGAGTGGTTATCATGAGGTCACCAGTGGCAGGCAAAGCATAACTGCACCTAAAATTCAATCTCTCCAAGGATTATGACAGCAAGATTCAACTGAAAATGAAGGAAGGGAGGAAGGATGGTAAAAATAATCCAAATCTACACACAAAGAGGAATGAGAGAAGAAGGAAGATTTCTATAGACAACTACAAACATTTATGGACAACATTTAGAATGACGACACCAACATCCTTATGGACTATATGAATACTAACCGAACTGGGATCAGACAATACAACAAGCGAACTTATCATGGGTGGAGGTGATTTCGGCGAAATGGTTGACAATGGAGAACTCTTCGCAGACTCCTGCGCCTTCAATGATTTGGTGGTGGGAGGGAGCGTTTACGAACACTAGGATATATACGAAGTCAGCAACATGGATTTTGCCTGATGGACAACACACCACAAACCAGATAGACTTCATCTCAGTGTTGCTCAAGGAAGTGGAGACACAGATAACCTGCTAGACACAAAGTCGAGAAGGGGAGCAGATGTAGGCTCAGACCATCATCTACTTCAGGGTATTATCGAGGTCCATGTGAAAGACCTATAAGCAACTGGAGACTGGCCATTGTAATTCAAGTTCAACATTCAAAAACGGAAGGACAAAACTACAAAAGATACCTTCACTGTAGTTATAAGAACAGAGTCAGAGACACTGTGTGGCATCACTGAAGAAACCTGTGTGGGTTGTCCAAGAAGACGTGTACAACTATTCTAGGGAGAAAGAAAAGACATAACAAGGAATGTCTGTCTACAGACTTCTACCTGGAATCTAATAGAAGTTAGGAGAGTAGGATGGTGAAAGAGAAGATGGTTGAATGAAAAGATGGATTAGAGAACAGAAGGAGAATCTGAGTTCAATGTACACTGCACTGAATGAAGAAAGACTTGAAGAAGAGTTCTGGGAAAGACGAAGGACAATTCTACGACACACTGGCTGGAGACTGAAGCAGAACAGGCAGTCAGGCCGTAGGTAAGAGAGATCTCAGGACATTATATTAGATGACCAGGTTTCTTTTCGGTAAGAAATCATCTCAAGTGAGAGCTATAAAAGACTTTCAAGGGAAGCTGATTACCGAGGAGTAGAAACGAGTGAAACAACGAATGTGATGATCACTTTAAAGGACTCTTGAATAGACCATCACCTGCAACTCGCCCAGAAATACCCTCTCACAGCACATACTGAAATCCCTGCCAGTGGACACCACTCCTCCAACGAAAGAAATCATGAATACGATCAAGCTACTGAGTTTGGGCCAGGAAGGCAGCAGGACCAGACGGAATTCTTGAAGCACTGAAGACGGCCCCACAGATTACGGCATACCTTCTCACTCCATTACTGTATAAAGTCTGGAAAGAAAGAAAGGTGCCTGCTGATTGGAAGGGGTTCTACCTCGTCAAACAGCCAAAGAAGGGTGACTGAGGTCTTTGCAAAAACTGGCGTGGGATAATGCTCTTATCCACTCCAAGTAAAATACTAAATGGCATCATCCTGGAGAGAATAAAACATGCACTGGATACAGAACTCCACCAGCCAGAACAAGCTGGAGTCAAGAAAGACCAGTCATACAGCGATCGAATCGCAACTCTACATATCATCATCGAACAGGCTGTGCATAGAATCTAATTCCATATTAGTTTGTGTATTAGATGTATCACACAAATAAGAATATATATACAAATATATTCATTTATGTGTGAAATAAATGACTGACCATAAGACGGTTTTCATAAATTTGACTTTTTTTCACTTTTGAACACAGATTGATATCATTAAGAGAACCATTGAGGACAAACCAACTCTTAAAAATTAATCTGGTGCCCTCAAGGGACTAGCTACACAATGAAGCTTTGTGGATTTCCAGCCAGAAGTCGCCACCAGTGGGGTTCACTCGGTCGGTAGTGAGGGCAAATACCCGCCACTGATGACGATGTCTGGTGGTCGCGCTAAAATTACGAATTGGTGGAAGTTAGAATTCATAGTTTGATCATTTAGTTGAGTCCCCGTGGCTTAATTGTCTATGAGTTTGAATTGTAACCGGAAGGCCCGGGGTTCTAACACCCGTAGTGGATGCGTACTACTGATGAGTCTCAGGCTAAGGGAAAACAGCTGTCCAGTACTCCCTGATATTCAAAAAAGGAATACTGTTAGTAATCAAAGAGATTGACACATAAATCTATTAAAAGTGAATGACAGAATTTTAATTTAACCTTAATAATAATTCAAATGGTTTTGCATAAATAACTAATGCTTACATTAAAGCGTTGAAGAAGAACTTCTCGGTTATATAATCCTTACAGAGTGAATTTTCAAAACTTAAATAAAATTTATAATGTTTGCGTAGCATAGTAAAACAATTCGTTGAACCACAGGAAAATCGACCACAACCACCATACACGTCAACCTGATAAATGAAATTATAGTATTGTTAGCGCTTCTCTTTTTTATTCACAGAAGTTCATTTACTAAAAGGTAAAAAGATAATTAAATACTGTTCATAAAAGTATTATTATATGTTAACTTAAATATAAGTCAGAACTTACTAATATTGCGCGATAACATATCACCAAGGAAAGGACTAGACACATTACACTAGTTACTAGTGTCCAATCAAAGTACCCACTACAGTCCTATAGGAGGTCAACCGCGAGCCCAAATAGCTCAATGGTAACGCCTCTGACTGCAGCACTGAGTGATGCGGGTTTGAATCTCAGAACGGACACGATTTTCTTCAAGGTTGCAGATATGCCTTGCTGACTGGTGAGTGCCAACTAGCACGAAACCTAGGTCAAGCAAGGCTTTCTGCCGATTGCCTCCAACTATCTAATATCATCAGATCGATGTGCACTGTGATGGTGAGCTACCTAGAATGGTGGCCACATTGCAAACCTGACTGATAGAATTCAGTCTGCACCAAAGAAAGGACTAGACACGTTACACTGTTACTAGTATCCAGTCAAAACCTACCACTTATATTAGCATAATTTGAAATCCGGTAATCCAATGACTGATTTGTTTAAAAATTTCTCTTTTTCTTTTACTGTTTGAAGTTCCGTTTTCATGAGTTTTCCGTCGACTATGAAACAGTTCAGTGATTGTGTCGGTGGCACAGTGGTTAGGACTCTCGCCGACCATGCACATGGTCTGAGGTTCGATCCCCTGCGGATGCACACCTGATATCTATGATTGGCCTGCAAAATTTGGGCTACCGATATCCATCCTGAAAATTCCATACTTGTACAAAAAAAATACGATATGGAATCAAGCTGTAACCAAAAATAAAGAAATAAATAAAATAATTTAAAGCTGTCTCCTGTTTCTATTCTTTGTCTATCCAAACTAGGCAATAACTTCTACCATACAATCTTCGATTGGTTGAGTTATTTTGAATAAATCTGTAGTAATAATAACTTCTTATGCATACATGAATTTTTATTAATGGTCTACTTGTATGACTGAGGTGACTTCAGGAACTTATAAGTAAACTACAACAACTTTAAAAATTCTGCATTCGTCTAGCTGAAATCCGCTCAGCTGTAGATTACTCTGACGTGGTCCAGGATTGGATCCCTGACCGACAAACTCCTAACCTTACTGCTTAGCCAGTATTAAGCAAAGTGGAGAGGAGAGAGGTAATAAAAAACACCACTGCTACTGAAACTCAGAGTTCAAGCTTGAAGGCGAAGTAATAATATCCGTTGTCGGAATAGTGATTTGCTGAAGATAAGAAAATAAACAATTCTATTTTTTATTTAACGATGTTCATAACAACCAGCTTAAGGACTAAATAACAATTTCATTGACATATTCAGCATAGTCCTGCCCTCGTTTGGATTATGGAAACTGTCTCATGAAAAACAACCATCTTGTGGTGTTTGATCGGCCTTCAATAGGTTGAATACGAAATTCCTCATAAATGTAATGTAACACCACTTGTGAATGACTTCGCCTCATTCACTGTTCTCCATCTATTGTGACCAATTCAGTACTTCACAGAAAGAGAGTTCTAGTACAGAATTGTTGTATTTCTCCAGTAGTTGATGTTTTATAAAGTAGGTAGTAGTAGCAGTAGTCAATAGGTTAAACATTTTAAATAAAATATTTGGTCGTGAAGTTTGTCTCAGCATTAGTAACAATGAAAACTGTACTGCACTATTCTCCAGTTCGATTTTAGAGAAGATTTGTAGCTCAGGTGGATGATTTTGTTGTGGTTTTGTTCGCTGAGCTGGATGGTTAGTTTGCGAAGCTTTCATCGCCTTACTGGGTGACATCTTCAGCGTATGCTTCAATTTGAAGTGAGCTTTTAGATTTCTCCACGAGGGTCAAAGTTCAAGTCAAAGAAACAATTAGTTCCAATACAAGTAACCTAGAAGGTGTGAAAACACACACAAACAACCAATCACGTCCAAGGTCACCAGGAGAGACGATTAATAAACTCGTGGAGAAATCTAAAAGCTCACTTCAAATTGAAGTATGCGCTGAAGATGTCACCCAGCAAGGTGATGAAAGCTTCGCAAACTAACCATCCAGCTCAGCCAACAAAACCACATCAAAAAGTTCGATTTTAATAATGATGATTCTTTGTTGAAAGTCTGCTGGCCTAAATCTTTACTTTCAAATACCACATAACAGGTTCAACCTTGTCTCACTCAGTAGGATTTGAGAAGTCATCTTATATCATTACATCCCAAAACTTGTCACAGAGAACCTTACTTAGCTGATGAGGAATATACGAATAGACGTATTATAATGACCACAGCATTTGCCCTCTATACTACCAGAAAACAAAGAGCTCAATGAGCAGTATAAGGCCACACAAAGTCAGCTAATTATGCAAGATCACAGACAACACTGAATTACTCTTAATTTTTTTTCTCACTCTGAAAAACCTCATCTATTAACTATCAAAAGTAACAGTTATCATGGCACCATAAAAAGAAAGATTTCGGATGAATACATTACATAATGATGCCTCAAAAACCCCTATTAACAAATGCATTTCTGAAGTTAACTCGAAAAATATTACAGACACCACTATGTGAATAATTACCACTTCTGAAAAGATCACAAAAACTTCACCTCACCCAAAATAATGTTGACCACGAATAGCTATAGTAGGTTAAAGCGTCAAGTACCTGTATTGTTGTGATGATAACTTTTATAAACGCAAATAATCATTTTTGTAGAATGAAAATCACTTGAAAGAAAAGTGATTCAGTTATTTAAACGAATCAACTTACCGTAATGTATTTAGCCAATTCATCAGCATAAGATTTTCGAGACTATGCGGATGACAGTTACTTACAATCCAAGCAACTGCCTTATGTTTTCCTGCAGCCACATTTTCTAATCGACTGAGTTTAGTGTTGTTGCCTTTGTCTTTATTGGCCAAAGGATTTGGGGTATACATTCCGTAAGGAGTGCGAATAGTGGAGTCGAATCTGTAAGTTGCAGTAAAGTTTATCTACAAAATATAAATTTAATGTGAAAATAAAAAAGTCAGTGCTATGATAAACCGCTGATACTGTGCACAGTTAAATTCCGAGAGATGTGCATAAACAAAGCTGTGTAGTGCAACTAATGTGTCCCCTGATGAAGCTTTATTACTTAATTGTATTTAAGTTTAGATAATTAAGGAAGATCAATAAATCAAAGAGGTGGGATGATAGTATGCATATCTTAGTATCAAAACAAAATTTACCAAGGAAGATTTAATGTAATAATAAACGGTAATGGAATAATTTGTTATTTTGACCTTCTGTATACCCCTTTAGCACTACCTGTATCTTTCTTCTCCCCTTGTAACTGTCTGTTATTTCATGCTTGAACACGGATTCATATCAGTTAAGGAATCGTTGAATACCAAGGAGTACTGGACAACTGTTTTGCTCTAGTTTGACACTCACTGGCAGCACGTACTGACTAGGGTTTGAATCGCGGGCCTTTGAGTTACAGGGCGAACTCGTAGACCATCCAGCCACTAGGACCAGATTCATATAAATTTTTTAATGTGTTATCAGACTGTTTGGAATGATATATTGATCTAATGTGCATATTCCGTTTTGCGGAAATACATCACGCGGATTAGATAAATTATATCTCACTACTATTTTGGCGAAGTTTGTGGAGGAAAGTAATTGTTTCAAATAATCTTTATCATAGCAAATCACTGTAATCCCCACTACTGTTGTTAATGGAATTATTATTAATTATGAATACCTGCACAGTTTTTATGCACAGTCTTATCATCCTATTGATAAATCACCATGGTTGGTCTTTTTATTTGTAAAATTATGTAAGTTAGAGTAAAGCTTGGTGAGATCAAACTGAAAACAACATTATTCGGTGGAATATAGGATGTATATTTCACCCTATTTAAGACTCGTCATCCAAGTGTGCCTACAATCCCTAGCGAGTGATGGCGCTCCCACTGGAAAACTAACTTAGCATCCGTTATTCCAAATGCTAAGGAGTTATCCACTGAACCGGTGGGAAAATCACCACTCTCTGGAGATTGCAGATACATTCAGCTGATTAGCCGTAAATAGGGGAAAACGTACTTCCTGAATTCCACTGTTAGTTGCTCTCCACAGAATAGCACCATGTTAGTCCTGAGACACCGTCTAAGCATCTGAACCAGGAGGCAAAATAGGTGTCAGCAGAGGCTGAACATTTCAATCCAATCAATCAACGAGAAGAATGAAATGGATTTTAACAGACGGCAACAATACTGTTAATTTTTTACACGTGTTGTTCTAACTCCTACTATGAGAATCTTTGATAATCTAAATTCGTCATTTAAAAGATGTAAATTGGAAGTATTTCTACTTAGGTATAATCTTACTTTCAAAATAAACTCACTTTATCATTAAGGTCATAGCTTAATCGACTGTGTATTGGAGATTCATAGTCGTAGGCTACCCAAGCCTGGTGTTCAGGACGTTTTCCTCTAGGAAATATTCTGTTTGGAATTAAAATAAGGCTGGCGTTAATCCACAAAAGTGAGTCAGTGTGTATGAGACAATTGTTCACCGCACAATTTCTCACATCTTTATTAATGCTTGCCAACATTTCACCATATATGACAATATTATGCATCTACAAAGAAAAATCATACAAACTTAGGTTTGTGTATATCTACTTATTATGCAGAAAAATTGTATCGAATAGAAAATATTTACTGACAGGTGAGAAAATACGGGTCATGAATTCGGTGTGTACAGAAATAAGTGTTGGATTAAAAGTAGCGCATTCACTGTAAGATTCAAAAACACAATACTTTTGATCTGTTGGCGCGGAATTCTATGTAGAAAGGAGTCGACCTAATTCTGGTAAAATGATATATGTATGTATGTATTTTTTTAATTAAAAAAAAAGCAATACAAACGTATTCAGTAGAAAACAGTATTTTGAAGTGCTTCCAAATAGTAAATTGCGTACAAAAATGATCAATTAAACGAGATATTATATTGAAGATCTATACCTCAGTGTGTATAAATGGATATTGATTGTGTATAAGTGCGTAAGACGGGTAGATATCAGTGTGACACGTAACTTAAATACGAAACTAAAAACAATAAACAAGTGAAATACTTTTTTGTAAAGTGTAAGTCGAAGAAAACGAATTTTTCACTTTTTGCCAAATGGACTTTAAATCGTATTCATAAGAATAACTTCAAAATTTGTTTACTGGAAAGCGATAGCTAGTGAAAATACACACAATCACCCTTTACTCGACATTAAATTTACTCATTTCAGAGGAAATTTATGCAAGTCACAGCGCTATCATCAGTTGTACTACTTTTTCCACATGATATCTCCTTCAGCGAATGAAATCGTAGGAATTATATTTCAGTTAGTTGAATATATTCCCATAATCTATTCACAACAAAAACAGTTTGCTTAAATTATAATTGGATTCATAATTCTACAGCCTGAAGAAGAATTTATTGAAATCACGATTGTTCGTTCTAACTATTTTTCTTGTGAATAGATTATACTTCAGTGAGAAGTATTAAATTTGTCAGAGCATAAAATAATTATCATAAGAATTTTATCACTTCTTGAATTTTGGCTAAATATATCCTTGATCACGTTACCGATACACACTAGTATGCCTGAAATGTACAGACATACTTTGTATGTGCTTGCATTGTTCTAGACAACGACTTCACGCATACACTGTAACTTATCGGAGAACAAGCTCTCAAGTCCAATCACAGGTCAATAGACACCCTTCTTATGTTATCTCTAACTGTGTATATACAAAGTTATATACAAAGTTTATTTGACAGTAGTTACACTGGGAGAACAGAAAGAAGGGTAAACATTCGATTTTCAGAATATGTACCAAAAAGCCAACGTTTCAAGAGAACAAACACTTTCCATAGTGCCATTGCCAGATGTTTCGTTGATACGGATCGTTAAGTGGACATTATGAGGTCCCTTAAAGTTATCGACAGACAAAATATTCGAATTCTCCTCAAGTCTGCCGAGGCAATCGCCATCAGACTCCTGAAATTCAATTTATGTGTTCAGAAATAAACAGTTATCAGTCTTCCCTTGCTATGGTGATTGAATGCCTTTACTCTGTCCTTTTCTCTCTCTCTCTTTTCTATTTTTCTCCCCTGACTTGTCTTTTTATTTCTTGATTTGAGTTAACTCATCACATTGTCATTCACTTTATTAGTTACTCACCATCTTGTCCATCGTTTGTCTTTATTTCATAATTCATTTGCTATTGTATCTAAGTTATTTTATTTTTACCTAAACTTGAACCTCGTGGAGTAATTTCTGAGTACTGTTTATTAAATTTGCAGTCTCCTGTCAACTGATATCATATCACGTTTATATGTTAAAAATTTTCTGCAAATAAACTAACTGATTCCTTTAGACTTTTTGGAGCTGATGAGAAGACGATGAAATAAACGATGGTACCACCTTATTCTGCACAAACTTTTCAGTCGTCTTTACTATCTAGATAAACTACACACTCTGGAAGATTCTTGATTATCACTCAGCTTATCCACTCACGGTAAAAATAGGATTAATACAAGGTCTTGCAGATAGAATACGTAGACTTACAACAACACCAGAAGACCAGTGTAAAGAAATAAACGTCCTATTCACATTGTAACTCGACAACAACTATCCAAAAGAATTTATCAAAGATAATATAAAAAAGAAAAAAGAGGGTAAAACCGGAGAATGACAAGATGGAGGAAGCCAGAAAGCAGTCATAATACCATGCGAAAATGGTACATCAGATGCATTTCGAAGAAACCTTAAAAATATTGGGATTCGCACAAGATATAAACCGACGAATCTAATTAAAAATAAAATAAATCAACTGAAAGATAATATAAAAGTGATGGGTTAAAATGACGGAATTTACAAAATACCTTGTTCCGAGTATCCGACTAAGTATGTGGGTCAAACGTCTAGATCACTCAAAATAAGAGTGAATGAACATAAACGCCTAACTAAAGGTCAACCAACAGAAACACAAGCTTACAAGAATTTAGAAAACAAATTCATCTATAGTTGCACATGCATTGGACAAAAACCACAATATCGATTGGAACAATGTTTGCTATCTAAAAGCTAATATGAACAAATGGAAAGAGAGAGTGATCACGGATTCTCTGTTCATTAAGGTTAACTGGATACATGTAAAAAGGTAGGTCAGTACAACTATCAACATCCTGGAATATAACTCTGAATACGCAAAAGCGAATGCACAAGAAAAAGAACTATGTATATGACTACAAATCATAGATGTGTGAATTTAAAAATAAACAATTCCAACAGTGTTGTGAACACAGGCAGTAATTTTGCTCGAAATATTACCAATAACAAGACTTATTGTGTGTAAACCATTGAAATATAGTTATACTTTTGTAATTCATAGTGTTCTTTGAGCTGTTTGGTTTGATACATTTGTAATAATTAAGAGAAATGATTTAGTATATATATAGCCATAAATTAATAAACGACATATTTGAAGACATCAAATTCACCACGAGAGCAGAAGAATTAGACGACAACAAAATCCCATTTTTAGATGTCTTAATCAGGAGGAGAACCAACACAGGAAATTTAGAAACACAAGTATATAGAAAATCAACGCCTACACACATATCAAATACTCAACTATACTAGCAATAATCCAAATACTCACAAACGAAACTGTGCAGACATTGTTTAAAAGAGTTCCAACACACACTGTAGCACTCTAGAGTTGAAAAAAATGAAAGAAAAATACCTACAGACGGTCTTCAAAAAGAATGGTTATCCACAAAATTTCACCAAAAAGTGTTTAAAGTCGAATCAAAACACCGACAAGGAACCATCATCAAAGACCACAAAAAAATTCATCCTACAATAAATAAACAAATATCTCTGAAGTAACAGCTAGAATACAGAAACCGTTTGATATAGATATAGCACACAAGCCAGTCAAATCACTTCATTCGATATTGTGCAAACCGAAAGAGCCGACAGAAAAAGGAGATAAAATTAATACCATTTACAAAATAAATTGTATGAACTGTAACAGGCATTATATCGGTCAAAAGGGCGTCCCTTTCGAATTAGAATCCAAGAGCACAAATCAGCCTTGAAAAGACACGATATATATACTTTCATATCAATGCACATAGACAATTACGGACATCAAGTTGATTGGGATAATGTCAAAATCTTAGACAGAGGAAACACCAAAAATACAGTCAGGAATTCCTAGAATCATGGTACTCAAACGAAAATGCAATTAACAAACACGTTAATGTAGACGAAATATACCAACTAATAAAAAGTAAATCAGGTGACCAGAAAGTTTAAAATCGAAGTCAATAGAAAATGGTCAATACATATGTAAAGTTGGTTACCGGGAGACGCAATTCTATCACTCATGAAGAAATTTAAATCAGTTCACTTTATGCTAAAAATTGCGCTGAAGATGTTGCCCAGAAGGACGACGAAAGCACCGCAATTAAACTAACCAGCTCAGAGAACACTATTAATTGCAAGTCATCCAACTGAGCTACAAATCTTCTCTATTATAGTTACACTTTATTTGATCTATTCCACAATGCTCAGACTTTTTACTGACACCAATAAGTGGAAGATATTCTTACATAAGCTACAACTATGTAGTGTAATATCACGTTTGCAATGTGTTTTAGTTCATTTTTCAACAATTATGCGACTTTTTTTAATCTCAACTCCGACTGATTGTTCAAATTCACTGTGGTTTTGGTTATGATAGTTTAACTTTGCCATGGACCCTGTTATTCTTGTGTACAATATCAAAAATAGGCTCAATAAAAATGCAAGTTTCAAATAATAACTCAATAGACAAAACAGCTCAAACTAACTTTAGTCTTGTTCAGCTGAACACGTCCACTAATAACATCTCTAAAAATTATATGATTTTATTTGTAACAATAAACAAATATCTCACGTTTTGAAGGTTTTAAAGTCCGGATAGTAAATAAATGTTTCATTAAAATCCCAGAGTGTTGAATTTTCATACATAGAAATATACTGTCCAATATCATTTAAGGTGAAACCTTTTATATACCATATACTAAGAATAACGATTACGGCTGCTACTAGTGCAACTATGTCAAATCGAATCTTGGCATTTTGAATAGAATTTTTGAAAATCTCCATGAATAAATAAATCTAAAATTGTATTATTTCATCTTCAGTATCTTCTAAATATGTGCGACAATAGACTGGCTCAGAAGTCTACCAATCAGAATTCAAGTCATATGAGTATTGATAATTAGTTAAACAAACATCCAATTGGATTTCTACATTTTGTATTGATGCCCACTACTTAGCATATGTTGGTTGTACAACTAATTTCCGTTACAGTTTATGATTATCATTGTTATATGTAATTATCACTCACTCGCTCACTTTGGAATAAATGTTTGAGTGTCATTAAAATCTATATAAATCGCCCTTATCAGTTTTGTGCATTTATTTGGCATTTTATGGTATGGAAGTTTTTATTTAGGGGTCAAGTTAAACTTTAAGCCCCACTAACTAACTACCAACGAAGTGCGACTGCACCAGTGGTCTTTAAATGCTCACTGAGCAAGTTAGTGAAACCTGGCAAATTATGTTGTCATCGCCACTAAAATATGCTCATTGAGGTGTTGTTTCAGCTTAGGTTTGAAGATTAAGTTACGCTTTAAGCCAAGGACAGGTTAGGGTTAAGTTAACCTGATGAAGGCGATATTAGGGTTGGTTCAGGTTAGGTTACAGTTAGTTTAGGGATATTTTGACGTTAGGGTTAGGTTCAGGAAAGATTAGGGTTATTGTTAGGTTTAGAAGACCTAAATAGTTACAAGCATAGAATGTGGTTAAATTACTCTGTTGATATAAGAATACTACTTGTGCACTGTGGTAGAATATAATTCTACTGTGGGTAACATTTATTTTGATAAAGTCTCACGGTGTTATACAGTAATATTTACCGATGACAACGTTTCGAGCACAGTTTTGCTCAGTAAATATTACTGTATAACACTATGTGACTTTATCAAAGCAAATATTACCCATAATGAAATTATTCTCTGATGATACTCCGACCTAAAGCTAAGAGCTATTTTCATCACGTGTCAGAGCACGGTATCCTCTGTAACACTTTTCTACAGTTTTTATGCATCTTTTTTCATAAATATATGTATTCCATGCACAAAAGTGCCCCTTTCACGTGATCGGTGCGTTCGAGATCATTCGCTGATTGATAGTTAGTAGTGCTTAAATTTTAACCTTGCCTATTTAGGTTTAAGAATGTCTGACCTCATACAAAACACACGTGAGTAATCTCATCCAAATAAATTCTATGTGCCAAAATCATTCAGTGAAGTAAAGATACGGAGAAGGAACTGGAGATAAAAACTAATTTCTTCATTTATCTGAAACTGTTTTACAAAAGTAAGAATTAACCAAGCGAAATTAACTTGTGTTTTGATTGGACACTAGTAACTAGTGTAATGTGTCTAGTCCTTTGTTTGGTGCAGACTGAATCCTATCAGTTAGGTTTGCAGTATGGCCACCATTTAGGTAGCTTGCCATGAAGGTTGCAGATATGGCTTACTGACGAGTGATAACTAGCACGAAACCTAAGTCCATGGCCTCCTGCCGATTGCCTCCAACCATACAATATCATCTAACTTGTATTCTGTCTCTAGGAGAAAACAAGTGTCACATTTACTGCAGTCTCTTTATGCTGGAGTATTTTCAAAGAGCATATTTTATTAAATATCTTAGGAACTATTCATTTATTTTGATGTTAACTAATAATTGTATATCCAGTGACTGTCATTGGCTTCTTCCCTTTATTAGCTCTCATGAAAGGTGCTTGAGTTAAGATGATGAAAGTGGAGAAGTGTTTGGCCATTGGCTTCTGTTTAAGGTTTAAATGTATGATATTATTCTTAATATTCTGTTGGGTTAGACATAGTACAAATGGCTTCAGCAGTACATCTCCATATCACTCTGTTCTCTAAAGTATTGTTTAGCTGTTTATCAGCTCTGATCTCTTCCTCCATGTTACCCTTATGCACATGCCTAACTCGCCGTTTTCCATTCTAGTTCCACTCAAGCGATAGCCTGACACACGATATCACTCCACGGTCTCCTCAGTGTTTGTCTAACGCATCTCTATTTCCTTCTGCATATTATTTGGGAATAGGTTTTTGATTGGCTGGTGCCTTCCTTATGCTAAATGTATCTGATAGCAGTTAAGGCTTTGTCTGCATTCCATCATAGAATAACTCTGTCTGATAAAAGCACACATGATACAGTGTTATTTACTGCATGCCAATACATGTTTAACTATCTTCGTAAAATAAGTGGGAAATGTGAATAATTAGTAGGAACATCACGAAAAGCACATGAAAGTGTGCTTAGAAAATCTTAAGAATAAAATCCAATTACTTCACTTCATTGAGAAAATATCTAACAGGTTCTTTACTAGAAAAACATTAATATGTAACTGCTTAAAATTGACTTGATGTTAGAATTTTCCACGAACGTCTTCTTTTTCTAGGAAAATGTGAATAGCATGGTCATTTCATTGTAGTTCTTCAATCTAAAAAGTGTTCAGAAACATCCATCAAGCAGCTGCAACAATATTTTCTACAACTTAAAACAGATCATGCAAATTGTATGCACAGCTAAATTGTTTTGAACTAAGCTAAAGGTTTTCTACGCAACAAATATTTGTAAAAGCTAACTACAACCTTCGGACTGGAATGCGATGAAGAAAAGAAAAAGGCAGTTTCAACCAGCAGAATTTCCTCTGTTGACGAAGTTACCTTCAAAAGTTGTACAACTATAATTGTATTACCAAAGGACGTGTAGTCTATAATTATGTGATAAGTGGGGTGATGTAATAGGTGAAGTTACTCAAAAGTAGTTTCCAAAGATAGGAAAATTATGCTATCGTCAGTAGCAAAATACAAATTTACAGGCTTTGAAGAAGGCTTTGCCAATAAAGTAATTTTTCTTCGCTGAGTCATCTCTTATTTACTTTATGAATCGAAGGGTATATTGTAAGATAAGATAAGCTTTATTCCAAATCAGTACTTGTGATACAGAATGGAATTCTCAGCATTTTTGTTTACTACAATATTGCATCCAGTTAGTACATTAACAATAAATATAGTTCTACATAGATTAAGGTTATCTCAGTCAGTTTTGACAACAACATATTAGCATGTCGGTAGCAAAGCCAAAAATTGTATCTTTTACATTGAAATTAAGTGCTGAAAAATTATTTACTTATTATCAATGAGATACCTTATGGCGATAATTCTGCGAAAGTGGAACAGGCATCATCAGATCACACACATATTTCAGGATATTTACACAGTGACAGTCGTCTTTTGGTGCTCTTGGGTTCCGAGTGGAATGTAGGAACATACATCTCCATCTCACCCTGTCGTTCGTTGGTTCTACGAATGCCCATTACCTTCCATTTCATCCTCATACTATCTACTGCATGTCGGTGGCACAGTGGTTAGGACTCCCGCCGACCATGCACATGGTCCGAGGTTCGAGCCCTCGCCGATGCACACCTGATATCTATGGTCGGCCTGCGAATTCTGGGCTACCGATATCCACGCTGAAAATTCCATACACGTACCAAAAATACGGTGTGGAATCAAGCTGTAATCAAAAATCAAAAAATTTTTAAAAATAAACCTCAGACGACCAGCTCATCATTTCCCATTTTTTATACTTTTTTTATTTTTGATTACAGCTTGATTCCACACCGTATTTTTTGGTACAAGTATGGAGTTTTCAGCATGTGATATCGGTAGCCCGAATTTCGCAGGCCGACACACCAATACCGGGTGTGCGCCAGAGGGGGATCGAATCTCGGACCGTGTGCATGGTCGGCGACAGTCCTAACCACTTTGCCACCTTCGAAGTGAAACTGATTATTAGGAAATCCTCTTGACTGTATTAAGTTGACTCTGATAAATCTTTTCTTCTGAAACAGTTCTCCAGAAAAATTCAAAGTTACTTAAATATACGAAGAAGTATTGTCAAAGATATTTAATGTGTGACTGTGTGGGGGTCTGAATTTTATGAATGTTTCGCTCCACACTATGTATTACTGACTAATTGATTTTAGTAGCTGGATATCGTTCATACCAACCGGTAGTGCTTGCTTGCCAGATCTAAGTGATATGAACACCGAATGGCTATTCCACTCGTTTGGTGAACCAGTTCGATTCAGCTCAGTGAACCGCATTAGTTCAAGCCACCTCAAACTAGGTAACTTGCGAACTAATTTACACATTTAGAATTTGATCAATGCTGAGCATCACCTGTAGTATCAAGTCTATATGCTCTTTGATCAGCTGATTATTAATATAAGCTGCAAAATCAAAAACAGATCTTAAAGGTACATAAAATCTTATCGAAATACGATCTATGAATTTTTAATCAATGGCGTTAGAACATAATAATTTGGAGAAAATAAAGCGAAGAATGTATCGCTGACCATGACCTTGTGATATGATAACTATATATTTTGTGTATCTATGCGTGTTTGCACGCATTTCTTCAATTTTTTTCAGTGATGGTTAACAATACAATTTTCAAGAACATGCTGTGATTATACTTTGTTCATGAGAAACAAAGTCTATATTTGCAAACATCCCTCACTGAAACGCACACACGAGGGGTCTATGTGTTATCATTATTATTATTATTATTACTATTATTATTGTTATCATGATAGTTTAATTAATATAGACTTCGTAAAACTGACTTACAGAGAATAGCTGTGAAAAACATATTTTGTAAAAGTTGCATTCAACAGAAATATCCAAAGTGTTAGTCGGGAATCTTCGACCAAGAGATAAGCAGTAATAGGGCGTAAACAAAAAGGATGAGATATATTGAGTGAATAATACCAAAATACTAAATTTCATTGAATCTCTTTACTGCAGGGGACAAATAACTTGTTTTAATAACGGTTTAAAATAACCACGAAGACAATCAGAAGGTTATTCACGAAAAAACCTCATGAAACAGTTGTGTAATACAAACAAGAATTTAATGGTGTTTCAATGGTTTTTGTAAACATTCACACTTCATTGAAGGCTATTTTAATTTTATACACTGTAACAGATACAAACTGATGATGAAGAAAAGACAAAATAAAACGGAAGTTATTCGTTAATTGCTCAATTGATCAGAAT